GTTCCGGCCGGGGAAAAAAAATCAATTCCAACAGGGATTAAAAATGCTACAACTACACACTGCAAGACCCGTCAAAACACAGAAACATAATCCTCCCAGAATCAAACAAGTCCATTCCAGCAGGGACTAAAAAACACGGAAACATAACCCCCCAGCCCAAACTCACACTGCAAAATCCTGTACAGCCCTCACCCAGAACAGGCAGTTTTTTAAATTTTTAAAAGCAGAACCAGGCAGTCCGAAGCCTCTCTCAGAATGCAGGAGCTGCAAAGAAGCAGCCTCTTCACTGACCAAGGGTTAGCAGTTTAAATTCCCCATCTCCCCCCACTTTTTACAAAGCAAAATTTTGCGACCAGAGCGGGTTGTAACTCAAACTGGTCGCAAGTCAGAACAGTTGTAAGTCAAGGCACCACCGTACTCTTCAGAAAGCAAAGCACCAGCAGCCGGAGCAAAGCTGCAGAAAGACAGCATGTCTCCAGAGGAGCTTGGCTGCCATTCAAGAGGAAGATTTACCCGGAATTTGTTGAGCGCCTTCGCCAGAGCCTCGATAGTCTCCATGTCAAGGTGGTTGGTCGGTTCATCCAGAATATAGAAGTTGGGACTGGAAAGTAAAGGAGATTTGATGAAATTGATATTGGCCTGGAAGAGTCTCAAAATGAGCTTCAAATGCACACACCTGCTGTTTGGACAGAAGCGTCCAGCGTTAACAAGGCTGGAAACCCAAGAAGCTGCTCAGCAGTTTTAATACAAGGCCCTTATGCGCCTTCAAGTCTACTGAGGCATGAGGTGATTCCCAAGGCATTGTCCTGAACTAGCAGATCCTTGCCTTATGGGGAAGGGCCACAACACAGGCCTGGAGCCAATAGCTTTGATTACAGAAAGCTCCAGGTTGAAATCCCTAACATGGCTGGAGGAAGCAAGGGCTGCGATAGAGCTCAGCCTCTTGAAGAACTGCTCGGAACAGAGCACTAGTCTGAACTGAAATATAGTAGTTCACCCTATCTTATTTCCAAGCAGGCTCAAAAGATGCTTCTGCCCAAAAATGAAACAGGAAGGCGAAAGAGCGGGGCTGCATGCACGCCACCACAAGCCACACAAAGGCTGCCTCCAGCCCTAAGTTCTGAAAGGCAAGACAAGGCCTTACCAAGGCATGGTCATCTGCGCAAAAGCCACTCTGCTCTTCTGGCCTCCAGACAGGGTGGCCACAGGGCGGACGGCCAGCTCTCCAGATACGCCATAGCACCCCAACTGATGCCGGTACTCCTCCTCGGTCTTCCCTGGAACCCACATATAGAAAACAGGCATCAGGTGTGTGGGTTTCATAAACGTCACCATACCAATGCATCTCTCTTTCTGGAGAGAAGCATCTCTATACATCCCTTGGTCCATCTCTTGAGCTCAGTAAAATCCACTCTAAACTCAGTAGAATCTATCTTGCCTGGCAGCAGCTCTCCAGCTTTTTGAACAGGGTTCTTTCTTAGCCCATCTGAAGGGTTACTGGTGGTATCCCATAAAGCACTAACCGGGCCTGACTGCCGTAGAATAATGAAGGGGGTCTATAAGGCCCCTGAGTCCAACCCCCTGCTCTAAATCAAAGCAGATCTGATAGATGGTTGACCAATTTTCTCTTGAATGCCTAGAGCATTGAAGTGCTTACCACCTCCCGAGGTCATTGGTTCCATTGTCATACTACTCTAACAGGTAAGACATTTTTCCTGATACTCAGCCAAAATCTGGCTTCCTGTAACTTGAGCCCATTCTTATGTATCCTGCACTGTGGGACGAAAGAGAACAGATCCTACTCCTCCTCTGATCCTGCTATGTTTCTGAAATACCCCTCCTCTGATCCTGCTATGTTTCTGAAATCAGGTGTGTTCAGGGTGGTACTGGGAGGGACTGGCCTTCAGAACAAGGCAGTACGGAAGATCATAGAAAGGTCTAAACAGGAAATGGCATAACAATGACAAGCAGAAGGCCCAAGGCTAGCAGGCAAGCCACCAGGTAAGTCAGGTAGCATATTTTGTGGCATGACATTCTTGCACGTCTCACCTAAAAAGTGAGGGCAAAGAGGCATCAGAACAGAGATGGGGAACATGTGATGTTCCAGGTATTATAAAACAGCAACTCCCATCATCCACTGGCTACGCTCAGTGGGGCTGAAGAGAACTGTAGTCAAACATTGAGACTGCCACTGATGCTTCCTGACAAAGTTATATAATATACATTTGAACAAAATACATTAAGAAGGGCAAAGACATTAGAGCATGTTGGATGCCATATAAAAGATGCTTGCATCTTTTGAAATTCTATGACGCGATACAAGTGTTTGACGAATGGATGAAGACAAAGGACTAACTGTCCCAACGTTCATTAGGAAAGCTTTAACAAAGTTGAAAATAAAAGGGAATGGTAGATCACTTTTGAGTACTCTGTAGCTAGAAACCCCTAGAAAGGGTCACCCTAAGTTGGAATTGTCCTGATGGCACATAATATATTTTTGTAGAGTCACTGAAGGGCAGTGAGCCACATCCCTCCCCACCACCACCCCCGGCCACATACTTGGCTACATCAAACCCACCTCGGTTTTTGTCATGAACAAGGTAACTCCATAGAAATCCATTTGCCTACCTGGGAACTTCTTGGCTAGTAACTCGGTGGCACTGATGTCCAGATCTAGCTGATCCACATGGTGCTGGCTGAAATAGCCAACTTTAAGGTTCCTGCCAAGTCAGAGGAGAGAGAAAGCACCTTTACAAGCGCTGCCTTTTCAAGGGACAACCACCATCTGCTGAAAATACTCAAATGAAAGAATAGCTTTTTTCTCCCGCCTTCCTTCCCTCCCTCCCTCCCTCCTTCTTTTCAAGGGACAACCACCATCTGCTGAAAATGCTCAAAACGAAAGAATAGCTTTTTTCTCCCACCTTCCTTCCTTCCTTCCCTCCCTCCCTCCATGAGCAGGTGTATTGTCTCCCATCCTTGAGAAGAGAGTTCAAGGATCTAACTAACTGTGTTGTTCTTTCTGTTGGCCATGATCCATAACTTTTTCACACCAGGTATTACAAAGCAGGTATCACTAGCTCTCTGAACCAACTCCCAATTATTATACTCAACTCACAATGGTTAACCCTCCCCGTCTGTGTATATTCAGGGGGTACAAGCAGCTTTGCCTTAGTTAAGTAACCAACCATTATTCGTTGTTACTATCAATCACATGTGAAAGGCCTCTGGAATGGGGTGGCTGGGGCAATATATTTGGTTCTTTAAAATATTTTATGTTGTCTTATAGGGAGAAAAGAGCTCACAAAAATAACAATGAACATATCTCTCTCTCACACACACACACACACAAGGGAGAAAGGAGCTCACAAAAATAACAATGAACATATATGACAAAGAGAGAGAGAGAGAGAGAGAGAGAAAGCAAAATCTTTGATCCATAAAAATGTAACCAAATAATAAGCAACAGCAGTTTAAAAGCCAAGTCAATTAACATAATTAATTAAAAGCAGATTGGAATGAAAGGGTTTAAGGCCTGTTTAAAGACAGCCACAGGCTAAGGAGCTCACAAAAATAACAATGAACATATATGACAAAGAGAGAGAGAGAGAGAGAGAGAGAAAGCAAAATCTTTGATCCATAAAAATGTAACCAAATAATAAGCAACAGCAGTTTAAAAGCCAAGTCAATTAACATAATTAATTAAAAGCAGATTGGAATGAAAGGGTTTAAGGCCTGTTTAAAGACAGCCACAGGCTAAAATGAGTGAAGAATCTAAAATTGCATGCTGCTGAATCCCTTTCAATTAGTATGAAATAGCTTATGCAGAGCAGGATTTGATGTTTCAATTTTCCTGCCTCACTCCACATTCAAAGTTTCTTTGTTCCAATAAGGGGCAAAGCAATAAATGTAAATGTGGAATAGTACAAGACATTTAAGATGGATGGAAGACGTGTAAGATGTAATCAAGCCCTCCACAGTAAAGAAACCCCAATGCAGTGGTGCCTCGCATAGCGAGGTTAATCCGTTCCGGATTAACCCTCGCTATGTGAAAACATCGCTGAACGGATCAAGAAAATCCGTTCCAAATGGGCCGAAAACTCACCGTTCAGCGATGTTTTCCTATGGCCGGCAGCCATTTTCGCGCCATCCCCTCGCTTACCGAGGGCGCGAAAACGCTGCGCGCGGCCATTTTGGAGCTGCCAAACAGCTGATCCGCGGGTCGCAAAGCGAAGGTTGGTAAGCGAAACGCTTACCGACCTTCGCTATGTGAGTTTTGCCCATTGGGGCCATCGCTTTGCGATCGCAGTTGCAATCGGAAAAAAACCCTCGCTATGCGGACTCATCGTTCTACGGTGCGCTCGTTAAGCAAGGCACCACTATTGCACAGTAAAGAAACCCCAATATTTAGTAGCTGGTATTTCTTCTAAAGCCTTAAAATTTTAGACCCATGGTTCCCAATCTTGGGTCCCAGATGCTCTTGGTTGCCCATTGGGGCCATCGCTTTGCGATCGCAGTTGCAATCGGAAAAAAACCCTCGCTATGCGGACTCATCGTTCTACGGTGCGCTCGTTAAGCAAGGCACCACTATTTGGTAGCTGGTATTTCTTCCAAAGCCTTAAAATTTTAGACCCATGGTTCCCAATCTTGGGTCCCAGATGCTCTTGAGCTAAAACTCCCTGAAGCCTTCTCTGCTAGCTGTGCAGGCCCAGATTTCTAGCAGTTGTAGTCCAAGAACATATGGGGACCCAAGGTTGGGATGCGCTGTGCTAGACATTCCAGAGGTCTTCCCATCTGCAATCATAAGGGCTAGAAACTTACTTCTGGAATTGAAAAACATCTGAACATTTCCAGGATTTGTATTTCAGGATCTGAAGCAGCTGAAATTCATCCCATCACTGGAATGAGGCTTCTACCAGATGGAAGCCAATATGAGCTACATACCTGAAGCCTGTGCTGTTTTCAGAGCTCAGAGTTCAGCAACAAGCCTTTTATAGTTTAACCGCTCCACCCCACTGTCCTCTTACCTGTGAGCATGCCGAATCCCCCGCACAGGTGCAAGGTCCCCCATCAGGATCTTCAACATAGTGGATTTGCCAGCTCCATTCTCTCCTACCTGGGGGGGAGGGGGGACAGAGACATTCTCTTGAGATCTGTTGGTGGATCTGTAACTCTTGGGAGTTGGGAGAAGACAACGTGTGCTAGCATAGCATGAATAAGCAGCAATTTTCAGCCGTTATTTTAGTTTAGCTCCACTTTGTGTTATGCGGTCCCACAGCTCCCTTGACAGATTCAGGGCGCACACAACTTCACTGCATTGTGCATGAGTTGTGTACTCTGGGAAACTGCCAAAGGAAGCCTTTAATCAACAGCCATTTGCTGCTGCTGACATTGCTCCTGTTGCGCACACAGAGCAGCGCAACAGGATTTCGGCCGTAGCCTTTTAGAGGATATGAACTAAAGCTAAAGGGGGCCACAGGAAGGCATCAAATGCAAGATGACAGGAAGTACATCAGAAGTGAGATGCGCAGGTTGAAGCAAGGCCCAAACCACTTCTGGTGAATGAATAAAGCCAGGTTAACTTTGTTCATGCAATGGTTGAAAGAAGTACACTTTTATCAGCTGAGTAGTTTTTCTGAAAAGAATGTATCAGTGAACTGAAAACAAAGTGGCAGCTAAGGGCAAGCAGGGGCTCTAAGGCAGGGCTCTCCAAACTATGGCCCACGGGCCACATCCAGCCTGCCTTGCCTTTTTATCTGGCCTGGCGAACACCGCAGGCTCAGGTCTGCTCCCTCCAGCCCATGTGTGTGCGTGTACGCACATGTGTTCCTTCAGCCCTTGAAAATGTTTAAAATCGATGATGTGGCTCATATGCTGAAAAGTTTGGAGACCCCTGCTCTATGGTATTTGCAACACTGAAGTGAGCCTTTCCCTTCTGCAGAAAGATCTGAACATCATTAGCTTTAAAGGCTCTTCTTTGTTACATTTTTTTTAGCAGTTATTCAAATCTAAACCAAATCAACATCATGAGCCCAAAGGCTTTGCAATCGAGCACCTGGCAAACAGCATGTTGGATTTTTCCAATCAATGAGATCCCCACAGCCTCACTTCTACTGAAAACCCGGCTCCTGCAATTCATGGAGAATGGAAGTCCAGGTGCAAAATGTCACCATCACAACCTAGCTGGGCTTGTTTAACGGGTGCAGCTACATTTGTTAAGAAATTCCATCTATCAGTTCTAGCCTAGGATACAAACTGGTTTCTCAGGAGTTCTGTTTCTTTGTTCCCTTTATTTTAGTCCTTTTCTTCTTTTTCCGTGGGGAAAGAGGAGAAGAGCAAACAACCCCCTCCTTACCACGCAGATGCGAGACTCGAGGTCCGCTGAGACCGAGAGGGAGCGGAAAACGTAGTTATCGGGCTCATAGTAAAAGTCAACTTCATCCAACTGCAAGATGGGGGGAGAAAACTTCTCAAAGCCATCTGGGAACCTGCAGGAAGAGGGACAAAGGAGCTCAGCAAAGAACGAGGGGCCACAGGGTCGTCTGCTCCATGGCAGGCAACCCTGCTCTGTATGATGCCTTATTCCTAGCACTGTGTTGGCCCTCCAGAAAAACATTCTGTGATAATACTATTTAGCAATTCATGTTCAACGTTCATAGTGCTTTTTGTTATCCAAAGTACTTCACATGCATGTTACAGCAGACTCTCTAAAGCAGTCTTTTGCAGCCAGGTGCCCTGCACATCTGCTAGACAATGATTCGTATTATCCCCAGATGTGCTTGGGGATGAGAAAAGCGGTAGTCCCACATTTCCAAAGGGAGAATTTAGACTGGGGAGAATTTAGTCTGAGGTTACACAACCATCTTCCAGAAACTAAGCAAGTCTAGGTTTTGCCACCTGCTGAGAAGGGAGAACCCAACACAGGAAAAAACTGAGTTCCATAGGAAAAATGGAACATAAGCTTAGCAAGGAAAGTGTAGATTCTCTTGTCTAAACAGCCCTCTTGTTAGGCAGGCCAACACCGGGATCTCCCTCTAGCAAATGGGAGGCTAAGGCCAAGGCAGAGAGGGCCATCTGCAAGGCTGGCGGCCCAGAGCGCTAATTAAACTCAATCTGCCATCACCTTACACCAGCTGTCTGGCATCCTGGCGGCACGGGTACCAAGGGAATATGTCAGGCACACACATTGCGCTCCTCCGAAGCGTTCTGAAAAGAACTGCCGGACAGACCTGAGATCATGCAGCTTTCAGAACCAACAGGTAAGGGTGGTCCTGTCTCTCCCTTTCCCTTGTGTTAAGACAGCACTCGGCTGTCGCCTTTCCGTATAAGAGCCACTTACTTCATTATCACTTCAGACTCTTTGTCCACAGGCTTCAGCTTGGGCCTAAGACACAAAAGAATGGAACAGCCATGACCGCCAAGAAGGAACCACATATAAGGATGAGCTCTACCTTCATTGCTTTAGATCTAGGCAAGGTCTTTCAGCTGGTGCAACTGCCACCCCCTCTCTACTCCTCACCTCTCTCTCTATATACGGCCTCAAGAACTTCAGCTTTTCAGCTGAAGTTCTCAAGGCAGTGTTTTCCTGTTGTTGTTATTTAGTTGTTTAGTCTCTCTCTACTCCTCACCTCTCTCTATATATACGGCCTCAAGAACTTCAGCTGAAAAGCTGAAGTTCTCGAGGCAGTGTTTTCCTGTTGTTGTTGTTTAGTCGTGTCCGACTCTTCATGACCCCATGGACCAGGGCACGCCAGGCCGTCCTGTCTTCCACTGCCTCCCAGAGCTGGGCCAAATTCATGTTGGTCGCTTCAATGACACTGTCCAACCATCTCATCCTCTGTCATCCCCTTCTCCTCCTGCCTTCACACTTTCCCAACATCAGGGTCTTTTCCAGGGAGTCTTCTCTTCTCATGAGTGTTTTCCTTGCTCCATTCAAAAGCAAACGAGTCAACTGCCCCACTTTCCCTTGGCCCAGTAAGGCACAAACACCTCGGCGGTTCTCTTTCCCTCAATCCGAGAACTTGGTAACAATATTTTTTTTTTTGGACTACAGCTCCCAGGGTTCCCTAGCCAGTATGGCCATGGCTGGGTGATTCTGGGAACTGTGGTCCAGCACAATAATGTTTCCCAGTTCTGCCCCATCTAAAGTGAAGGCAAGAGGCTTAGCTTGGTGTCACAACGCTCAGCTTGAAAATACGGGGAGTGGGGCAGAAAAAAAGAGGGAAATCCTGAGATGTGGTTTCCCGCGAAGGAAATATAGCTGAAGAAATGTTACTACCCTGGCAATAGTTTAGGTCACCCTTTCAATAGGCACGTGATTTCCAGAATTATTGGACTACGGCCCCCAGAAGTCTACAGGAATTCTCCTAACCAGACCCTTGGGAGGTTTTAGCCAAATCTCTGCAACCGCATTCAACCGAGAAATAACGGCTTCTTTCAAACAAGACAAAAGTTGGAAGTGGCTTGGCACGGCAGGGCTAAATTCTATGGGAACGGCAAGGCATTATTGATCTGGCAAGTCTCCCTCCTTATTATGCCCCATATAGGGTACCTTCTCAAGAAACGACCAGACTCATAATCTCTTGGGAGTTCCCAGAAGAGTTCCTAGGCCCTTCCCAGCCACTTCTTCCATCTTCATTGAAGCCATTATTTCTCAGCTGAAAGTGACGACAGACACCTGAAAAGACTCCCAAATGTTTGGCTGGGAAAACTCCTCCAGATCTCTGGGTGTTATAGTTCATGAATTCCAAAAAATCCCATGCCTAATCATCAATGTGTTCCCGCCATGACTGGCTTGAAGTATTTCATTTTTTATACTTTTGCTTGGGCTGAAGAATGGCAAAGTTTTTTTAAAATCCCACTACTTATGTTAATCACGCCATCTGTGCAAATTTGAGTGCATCATGAGCTATGACCATGGTTTGGACCATTTTCTCTACTTGCCATTTTTGCTTTCCCTTTCTCCCCTGGCCTTCTGGTCTCAATACATTCTTTTCCAATATATTTTGCTTAAACAAAAACTTTCCTCCACTATACCATCTGCTTATTTATACTTGGACGCATACGTCTCCCACTGACAACTTTTGACTATCAGCCTTAACAACCATCATTAAGATTTATATTTTTCACCTTCCCCCAAATATATCTTGATACTGTTTTGATGTCCTGCAAGATTTGTGGCCATTGTTTTGCCTGTTCATCTGGAGAGCCAGCGTTTTCTGTCTCCAGAGAGAATGATGGAATCAAAACATACCCCCATATTTACTACCCACCCACAATGCAAACTAAGGCGTGTACTCACAGCTTCTCCAGCAGTTTGAGTTTGCTCTGTACTTGGGATGCCCGGTTTGCATTATAGCGAAATCGATCAATAAACACCTATAGGAAAAGAGAAGATCAGAGTCTTGTACAGGAGACGCAGCCCCCTTTCAGGGACTAAGTCTAGAAAACACAACTGCACTTACTGATTCTAATTTAATTCAATTGTGTACAAGGATATCCTGGTGACTTTAAGTGGACATATTTTTACTTGTGCATTTTAGGATTGTCATGCTGCTAAAGAAGTCTTAAATAATCCTACATTTTTAACCCTCAATCAAAACAGTACTGTCTGATGGTTTAAATTGGGATCTTACTGTTGATAACTTTGCATAAGGAAAATAGCACAAACCTTGGGAGCAAATCGCTGCTCATTAATAAGGTGCTGATTGCATTCTTAGATGTGTGCTTAATTGTGTAATTGGCATGTGATCTTCATTAGTGTGTGGCAAACTTAGCCCACTTCCTGTATGCAATGATAAATCTACAATAGGATTCTGGCCAATGATTTGTAAGCAAAGGGGAGGAAAAAACTTCCTTGTTTTTCAAACAAATTTCAAATTTACAATGTGTGGTTGAGAATCTCAGGATTCACTAAGATCACCCAGAATGTGATTAGTGTTTGTGTTAAGGCAGGTGTAACTTGCCATGGCTAAACACCTCAGCACCTCATCAATTAGGTACAATTAGCCACGGCAACTTATATAAACCAGTAAGATTCTAGCCAAAATATGGAAAGTATGAATTATACAGGCACAGAAATACAACAATTTTGAGAGAAAATATAGACTTACAATCAAAGGACAGGAGACCTCTGAATCTATTACAATTTTGAGAGAAAATATAGACTTACAATCAAAGGAGACCTCTAAATCTATTATCACTACAAGAAATGAGCTCAACAGTCCTCTCATGTCAAATCTCAGCCCATTTACTCTTATCTCCCCAACCGAGCATTCTTCGTTTTCTAGAGTGTAATAAGGAGCGAACGAGAGGACGGCTCCAGTTAAACAAATCTCCAGTGGGGATCACAACTGGCAGCAGGTGAAAACCCACTTCCTGTCTATCCCCTAAAGATCCACCACTAGATTCCAGATTTAACTTCTGCCTGCCATATTTAAGGTGATGCATGAATGTCCCTCAGGACACCATGTCTGAGCAGGTGCATTTCTCAGCTTCTCTGATGTGGGGTGAAATGGCCCACGAAGATTGGCCTCACCCTTTTTAGTTACTCCTATGGCATGACGGAGCAGGCACTGCCACGTTCCTAATTGCGCTCTGCTGCTGCTCCTCACCTGGATGTGTTCCCGGTATTGCTGCTGGGCCTCATACTCGCGCTGCTGGTTCTTTAGCCGCTCTTCTTTGATCTTGACGAAGTTCTCAAAATCGCCACGATAGCTGTCTAGCCTCTGCGAGTGCAGGTGAATAACATCGGTGGCCACGGCATTGAGGAAGTTCCGATCGTGAGACACCACCAGGATGGTCGACTGCCAAGTCTAGGACGGCCAGCAACCGAAAGACAACCTTACAATACCAGACCAAAGGCCCCAAAACTTGTTTCCCCGAAGAGCTATATCATAGTTCTAACATATACATTGATTGATTAGGCATCCTTCAGTCTCAGAGGCTATGGTAACATGCTCTGAATACAGGACTTGGAACAGCGTCTAGTGTCGCTGAGGAGGCCAATTCAAGAGGGACCATCCCTTCCACACTGAAGACAAATACAATCTGCCCCCTGTCCAGCTCCCTGATTTGGCTGCTTTCGGGATGGCCTCTTTGCCTCGGCCTGCTGGACAAGGGTCTCCTCAAATTGGGAGAGGCCATGCTACACCAACGGCCTCCAGGCTGAACACTCAGAGGCCAAGGTTTCCCATCTGTTGAGGTCTATTCCTAAGGCCTTCAGATCCCGCTTGCAGATCTCCTTGTATCACAGATGTGGTCTTCCTCTGGGGCGATTTCCCTGCACTAATTCTCTATACAGGAGATCTTTTGGAATCCGACCGTCAGCCATTCTCACAACATGCCCAAGCCAATGCAGACGTCGCTGTTTCAGTAATGTATACATGCTAAGAATTCCAGCTCGTTCTACGACTACTCTATTTGGAACTTTGTCCTGCCAGGTGATACCAAAAATGCGTCAGAGACAACATATATGGAACATATAAATTAATCCCCAATCAAAACTAGAAGAGATACTACCTCAGCTTTCCCCAACATGGTGCCCTCAAGATATTCTGAATGACACATCCCATAAATCTTGACTTCTGATCATGCTGGTTGGAGCTACTGGAAGCCAAAATATAGGATCACAGAATAATTGAGCTGGAAGAGGCCTATAAGGCCATCAAGTCCAAGCCCCCACTCAATACAGAAATCCAAATCAAAGCAGATGGTGACAGATGATTATCTAAATTTCTCTTGAATGCCTCAAATGATGGAGCACTGACTGCCTCCCGAGGTCATTGTTTCCAATGTCGTACTGCTCTAACTGTTAAGAAGTCCTTCCCGATATTCAACCTAAATCTGACTTCCTGTAGCTTGATCCCATTATTACATGTCCTATGCTCTGGGATGATCAAGACCAAATCTTGTCCCTCCTTTGTATGACAGCCTTCCAAGTATGCTATTCTATCTCCCCTCAGCCTTCTTTTCTCATGGCTAAACATGCCCAGTTCTTTCAGTCTTTTCTCCTAGGGTTTGGTTTCCAGTCCCCTGAGCTGTTGCCCTCCTCTGAACTTGCTCCATCAAACTGGGGACACCTGTGCTATATCTTTTGCTTTCAACCAAGTGAGTCAGCATGTTGAAATAGGCAGAGTCCTGATCTCAGGGATGTGGATTCAAATCCCTACTCAGTCAAGGAAGTCACTGGGTGATCTTGGTCCAGACATACGTTTCTCAGCCTGACCCCAACTCACAGGGCTGTTGTGATGATAACGCGCCAGGAGGAGAATCATATACTTTGGCTTAAGAGCATCAGAAAAAAGGCAGGACACAAAGGCATCTTAACAATCAAACAAACAAACCTGCAGATAGTTCTCCAGCCAGATGATTGCCCTCACATCCAACATGTTGGTCGGCTCTGGAAGTGAACAAAACAAACAAGGAGCTCAGAAGCTGAGAAACAAAGGCAAGGTAGCAAATGGAATACTACCCACTCTCTGAGGACACTTTTGGCAAACTGCCCTAACACATATACCAGGCACGTGGTCATCCTGGGTTTGGCCTTCTCAAACCCTCAAGTGGTTCACAATCAAAGCCAGGTTAGTCATCCTGGAAATGAGAGCTGTCCCTGAACTACAGGTAAACCAATGAAATATCCCCTGTGAAGACTGAGTGGGTAGGTTTCCCCTGTATTTTGGATCAGACCAACAACCACACCCCCATCTATGTGTAAAATTTACAGTCTTGGTTGAGCCCATTAAGTGACTATGCTGGACTCCTAGCACAAAGGTCATGGAGTCAAAAACACCTTCTTCTGTTAGGATCCACTGGCACTCGCCTGTGATGTGCAAGCCTTGAAGCTGAGGACGCAGTTCCTCAAGACTTGAAAATGTAAGAGCTTCTCACATTTCTAGTGGATGAAATAGGCAGATCTGCTGGGCAACAGATGGACTTTTCTGTAGATGTGGGTTTAGGCTAAAGATGAATTGATCTCTTTGCATCCTATGGTTCAATAAAAGGCTATTACATCTGTTCAAAGTATTCAGTGTGGTACAGTGGATAGAGTAACATGCCAGGACTCAGGAGACCTGGGTTCAATTTCCAAACTCTGCCATGGAAACTCACTGGAGGTGGCAGAAGGGTTGAACAGCTAAAACCACTTCTTAAATACCTAACTTACTTTGAAAACCCTATTAAGAGCATTATAGGTCAGCTCTGACTTGATGGCACATAGAATAAGAACCTAAGAAGAGCCCTGCTGGATCAGGCCAAGGGCCCAGCAAGTCCAGCTCCCTGGATTTCCCTGTGGCACCACCAGATGCCTCTGGGAGCACATAAGCCAACAAGAGACCTTTCTCCTGATCCCCCTCCCCTGCATCTGGCATTCTGAAGTACCTTCCTTTTAAGCCTGGGGATAATATATATATCCCCATCATGGCTTGTCACCTGTGATGGCCTTTTCCTCCAGAAATCTGTCCAGTCCCCTATGAAAGGCATCTAGCCAAGATGCCATCACCACATCCTGTGGCAAGGAGTTCCAGAGACTAACAAAGAAAGCTGGGTAAAGAAAGATTTTCTTTTGTCTGTTCTCACTTTCCAAACACTCAATTGGAGTTGATGTCCCCTGGCAAAAACAGATCTGCCCCAAACTGGTTTTGCTTTATGACTGGCCTGTATTTATAGGTTTATAGTAAGAGACTCTGGCCTCCTCAGACCCAGAGGAACTTTCTCTCTTCACAGCATTGAGACACATTTGTACAAGCTATCTATGATCATGCTATAAAAGGTATAGATTTACTCTATAAAACCCCAATTATCACTTAAGCATTTAGTCTGTTAAGGTAAAGGTAAAGGTTCCCCTTGACATTTAATCCAGTCGTGTCGACTCTAGGGGGCGGTGCTCATCCCCATTTCCAAGCTGTAGAGCCAGCGTTTTGCCCGTAGACAGTTTCCGTGGTCACGTGGCCAGCATGACTAGACACGGAATGTTGTTACCTTCCCACCGAGGTGGTACCTATTTATCGACTTGCATTTTTAGATGCTCTCAAATGGCTAGGTTGGCAGGAGCTGGGACAAGCAACGGGAGCTCACTCCGTGGCATGGATTCGATCTTACGGCAGCTGGTCTTCCGACCTTGCAGCACAGAAGCTTCTGCGGTTTAAGCCGCAGCGCCACCATGACCCTTTTTAAAGTACAGTACTAAATTTACACAGTACTAAAGGTCCAGTGCAAAGCCTTATTTATTTTCAGTGCAGGCTTAGTTACCTATCAGCACTGCATCATAAAGAACCAAATGTGAATAGAAACAGACATAAATTACTTGAAATTTGATTTGTCCAGGACTAAGAGGTTTAGGTGATGCTTGGAGGCCGAGGGCACAGCTTAGTTACCTATCAGCACTGCGTCATAAAGAACCAAATGTGAATAGCAGACGTAAATTACTTGAAATTAGATCTGTCCAGGACTAAGAGCTCCTTGGCTCAGTTTAGGTGATGCTTGGAGGCCGAGGGCACTATGGGCTTTGGTGCATTCTCCTCTGCTTTCCAATAAACACAATATTTTCCATTTCTAGACTACAAGCTTGTTCAACTCTTGAATGACATGAACCATAGCCTGGGCCAGCTTTCAAAACTCCCGCTATGTCAAGTTAGCTGGCCACATTCAGATGATCAAATCTCAGCTTTATAATCTCTGCCCAACCAACTGAAATAAATGGGAAACAAGTGGGGAAACAGGCCAGATACCTACAATTTCTCGTAACTTTCCATTATATCTGTACCATGAACTGCCTTAACAGTCAGTTAATGGCTTCCAAACAAGCCAGGGTTGGGAAAGCAGCTTTGAAGCATGGCTTCATATTCTGCCTTGCTCATAACCCATTAACCACATTTTTCTAATTAAGATACAATGATATGCTATGGTTAGAGCCATGGACTAGGACCTAGGAAGCCTAAACTCAAATTACCATGGAAACTCACTGGCAGTGGTGGAACTGGTAAAGCTGCTCTGTAAATATCTCATTTATCATTGAAAGCCCCATTAAGGTCATCAGAAGTTGGTTCCAACATGACAAAACAGAACATAGTTAACTGCAGCTTCTTAGTTCATGCAAAGAGAGGAGTAATGAATTTGGCCAAGAAACTTATATGTAACGTCAGGTGTGTAAACTGAGAGTTGATCACAGCTTCAAGATTACCACTAACCATGATCTGCCTGGCTTCAACAATACAGGACACCGCTTTAGAACTTCTTGGGAATGGACAAGCCAACTGACATGAGGGAGGGAGGGGAGAAAGCATGCGGGCCCATGATGGGGTCCCTCTCCCATCTGGACTAACATGCCAAAGGTGCACAATGCACAGACCCCTTCCTTCCCCCCAGAAGCACACAGAAAAGACTTACCATCAAGCAGGAGGAGGTCAGGCCTGGGGACATCGCAACCAGCAAGACAAAAGGAAGGGGTGGTGGGAAGGAGATAACAAAGAAAGAGGGAAACAGCATGAATAGGGATGGCCCAGTCTGAAGCTGCTTCCACAGCCCTGCTTTTTACAACCTCTTGTGGGAAAGGAGCCGAAACCGGGAATATACCTCACAAAGCATGGCCGGACTGCCCTACTTAACTTCAGCAGTTTTTGACATTTCAACCAAACCAACTGCATGTGATAAAGAGATGATTATAGATTAAATTGATAATGATCAAGACAGTACCCCACCTTATTCCAGGCAGTTTAAGATGTTGCACGGGGCAGCCCAGGGTTTTAAGCTGATGCCCAACACTGACTACTCTGGGCTAGTTCTCCTTTTTTCGGCGGACAGATTGTGATTTGGGCAGGGATGTCCAAAGCAAAGCAAAGCATACTGTCTATACACCACCCCATTGCACTTAAAACACTAGAGCTATCCTCACAACGCTACACGCAAACATTCTGTGATTAATAAACAGTCGCACAGCTGCAAATATTTCGAGTTCTTGTTCCAGAGGCAAAATCTGCAATCCTTTCAGGTTTGATTGGTGCCATCTGTTTTTGTAGTTATTTTTATAGTTATTTGCTTAATTTGTTCTCACTGTCTTTAGTGTTTCATTTTCATCTCTGTCTGATGTTTTGTCAATTGTAAACCACAGAGAATAGTGCCTTGACACTAACGGAAGCAATAGACAAGATGAATGAATAAACGAATCAAGCTAGCTTGATGTCCACCAGTGCCATCAGTATAGTTTATGGACACGAACTCAAATGCAGCAATATACATGAGACATACCTTGCAAAGAGGGCACGTGCTAAAGCCAATCTCATTCTCCAGCCTCCTGAGAACTCTCTGGAGAGAAGAAACAAAGAACGACGACACCAGATTCCCTGTTAGGCTATAGATTTAGCATGTCGCCTTACCATTCCTAAGGGGTACAAAGATGGATCTCACAGTAGTCTTGGTTCAATTTATTACTTGTGCCCATTGGCACAAAAATCTAAAGGGAAAGGCCACAAAGATCCATACTGCCTAGCCGCCACCACCAGCTAATCATAGCCAAGACCCCCCAACATCTCAGATCCCATACAACAGGATTGGGGGGGGGGAACTCAACTTTGAGTAGGGATCACTTACTTGGTTGTCTGTTGTTGCATCTTTGCATTGAATCCCAGTCCAGCCAGAATGACTGATGCTCTGTAGAGAGGAGGAAGAAGAAGAGTAGATATTGAACACAGTCAGTAGAATGGATGACAGAGGCTTACCTATGAAGGTGGGGACCGATAAAAAAGACTTATGGCACTACTGAGAGGACATATTAAGACATCAGAGCCAGTACAATCATGCCCCTCTCTTAACACTACAGAAACGCCTACATTTTCAAAGTCCAATTCGGGCATTACAAATCATGTGCACTGACCAAGAAGATAGACAATCCCTCTGGCCCTACCTCCTCTGCTACTCTTCTATCACCCCTCTATATGTGAAGGATGATAGTTTGAATAGAAGAGCTTCTAACATCACAGGAGATAATGCATTTATTTCAGCTGTACACCACCTTTCTCTCAATAAAGAGATCAGGGCATCTTACAAAATATTTAAAAGATACATGCAGCTAAAATTATAATAAAGTACAATATTTTAAAAAAAACGAGTTAGAGGATAAGGGCTGAAATCCTGTTCCTTAGCATAGAATTGACGACAGTTTTTAGAGTATATATTTTAATTGTATTTTAATTGTTTTATCTTTTTTATTGTACTGTATTTTAATTGTTGTAAGCCGCCCAGAGACCTTTGGGTAGTGTGGGTGGCATATAAGTTACATAAATAAATAAATAAATAAAAAACAAATAAACTGTAACTAGAGTAGGCCCACTGAACCAAGAGACTAAATATCCCTGGAGTGCTGCTAAATCTGAGAGCATAGGCGGGTTGGCAAGGATACAGTTCCAGTCAACTTCCATAGCCTACGCCATATGGACTCCTACCCTTTGCTTAAGCCTGACTTTCCCTCCACAAGCTGTTTTCCCATTCATCAGGGGATGAATGAATGAAAGGGGGCAAACAGTTGAGAGGGATCATATGCTCTGGCGCCGTCTGCAGCCTTGGCCTCAGTGGAAAATTCTCTTCCTCTTGAGGTTAAGACTGCTGGTCCTCCAGGCAAGATTCCAACAAACAGTAGAGCAGACCCTCCCTAACCTGGCACGCTCTCAAAGATGCTGTACTAAACATCACCAGGGCTCTCACCATCTCCAGCCAGCATGATCATTGATTCAGCACATCTGGCTAGTGAAAATCAAGCAGTACCCGTGTGACCAAGAACGCTGGAGAAGGAATCTGCTCTGCCCTTCAGTCCAGTGCCAGATATTCAGGACTCTTTTGTAATACAGTGAGCATCTAAAGTGCTAGTTCAATAAGATCCTAAGTCCAAACGAAGAGCACCATCCAACTGCTTTTAAAGAGAGAGAAAATGTGAAAGAGAAACACCCACAGATTAATGGCATGCGGCATCATCAGTGCCAATTCTCTGCCATTTCCTTGTCTAAATACAGCCTTACTTTTGCAAAGCTTGTAACAACAGATAAAACTAATTAGTGTGAAGGAGCCATCAGAAACCATTTTTTACAGCAGCTTGGTATGTATCGGAGTGGGGGGGGGCTAGCAAAGTGCAGCTTGAAGGTTCCATTTGGGTCCCAAACCCCTTGCTAAAAAATAAAAAAGTAACTTTTGCTACCAAACTGGATCTCATGCCCCCCTAGAGGCCTTCGTTTGCCTTTTAAACATCACCCTCCCCACCCAATGCCTATTTAATGTTTGAAAACCCTTACTGAGAAAAAGCAATTTAAAAACAGACCGGGTGAGGGGATTCTATTTACAGTTTAAAGCACGTGCTCAAGAGGTACTGGAGGAATGGGGGCATGATTGCAATTTTGGAGTGCACGTTTTTGGCAGGTAATGGTGGAGGTGTGGCTCTCCAAGGTCTCTCTCTCTCTCTCTCTCTCATGGCAGGTAATGGTGGAGGTGTGGCTGTCCAAGGTGTGTGTGTGTGTGTGTATGTGTGTGTGTGTGTTTGTGTGAGTGTGTGTGTGTGTGTGTGTGTGTGTGTGTGAGAGAGAGAGAGAGAGAGAGAGAGAGAATGGCCCCTACACACTCTGATATGGCCTACGCCATGACCAGGGCATGGATATGGAAGAGACCGAGCTTGTACACCTGCATCCTTTTGCCTTTTCTAGATTCCCCCCTTTCTCTTCTCCCTCTTCATCCATGAAATTCAACCTGGAGACACAAGTTACCTAGTGATGGAGGTATGAGTTGATGTTTCGGGGAGTTAGAACACAATTTTAAACATTACAGAAAAATTATCTTGCCACGCACAGAGATGAAAAAGAACAGGAAACCAGCTGGGATGTGGGTTTTCGGAAGAATCCATTTGTCAGTCTTTTCTCCTTCCTGTCTATAGCCCTGTTCAGGCTTCAAGGGCACGTTCTCTGTGCACAACGTGAGGAGCATAGCAGCCTCCCTTCCCTCTGTCACTGCTTTCAATATGTGAAAGTACGAAGAGTGGGAGGTTGCAGTATCTGTGTAGGCTCCCCACATGAGCCAACCCTCCTCCTGATGTTTCCATTTTGTGGCTCACATGGATCATCCACATGGATGCAGCAAGCTACTGCATTCTTAGGCTGAAAGCAACCTGGGGCTCGGGGGGCGGGCGGGCTGCAGCGCTTCCTTGATTCTGAGTAGAGAACGCACGCTGTAAGAACACCAGACCAGAATCGTTGTATACCATTTTATGCACCCTAGTCGTTATTGGAGTTTTTTTTAATCTGGATCTTGACACAGAAATAATGGCATGCACACATTTTTACTGGATCCCGTTAGATAGCTACACTTCCAGTTCCGGTATCCTTCAGTCTCGAGAGACTAAGGTGTTGTTGTTGTTTAGTTGTGTCCGACTCTTTGTGACCCCATGGACCAGAGCACACCAGGCCTTCCTGTCTTCCACTGCCTCCCAGATTTGGGTCAAATTCATGTTGGTAGCTTTGATGACACTGTCCAACTATCTCATCCTCTGACATCCCATTCTCCTCTTGCCTTCACACTTTTCCAAAATCAGGGTCTTTTCCAGGGAGACTTCTCTTTTCAGGAGATGGTCAAAGTAAGGTAACATGCTCTGAATAGAGCTCTTGGAATTAAAGTAAGGTAACATGCTCTGAATACGTAGAGCTCTTGGAACAGCATCTAGTGTGGCTGAGAAGGCCAATTCAGGAGTGACCATCCTGTCCACACTGAAGACAAATACAATCTGTCCCCTGTCCAGCTCCATGGTTTTGCTGGTTTCGGGACTGCCTCTTTGCCTCGGCCTGCTGGACAAGGGTGTCTTCAAATTGGGAGAGGCCGTGATGCACCGCCTGCCTCCAGGCTGAGCACTCAGAGGTCAAGGTTTCCCATTTGTTGAGGTCCATTCCTAAGGCCTTCAGATCCCGCTTGCAGATCTCCTTGTATCGCAGCTGTGGTCTCCCTCTGGGGCGATTTCCCTGTACTCATTCTCCATACAGGAGATCTTTTGGAATCTGACCATCAGCCATTCTCACGACATGCCCAAGCCAACATAGATGTCACTACATGTGTGCTGGAAATTTACACTGGACAATCCTAAACAGAGTACAGGTCGACAAAGCATCGCTTGAGGGTAAGATTGTTTTCGTGGCCTCTGCTCGCACCGTGTCAAAAAATGGAGAGCAAAACATGTCCTTTCCAACATGATCTGAAATGAGGAGTTCCTCCCAGCCTTCAAAATTAAAACAAACCCAACCCAACCCGAAACTGAATTTGTGAAACCAGAAATGGCTGGGCTTTAAAAGAAATCTGTTATGGTTTCCAGTTTTTCTTTTAAAATCACATTTTTGAGATGGGTCCTGGATCATCCAAAGTTGCCCATCCCCAAAACAGATCCTCCTCTTACCTCGCTGGGGCCTTGTCTGCTTCAATCTCTTCCAGCCTAGCATAGATTTCGGACAACCGGGCGCCTTCTGTGCCTTCTGCCCTGAAACAGGACAGAGGAAGAATGTGATAGTCCGCCCACGGCAAGGAAAAGGCCAGCTCTGCATCCGAGGATGCCCCTCTCCTAGCTAGCTGGGCCCGGGCCGGGCGCCGCGAGACAAGGGTTACCTTCCAGAATTGACCTTGGCTGTTAACTCCTTCTCTTCCTTCAGCAAACTTTCCCGGGTGGTGTCACACTCCAGGACGCTCTGCAGGGCTGGCGTGTCATCCCCCGCTACTTCCTGCTCCACGTGGAGAATGCTAATGTGCGAGGGGATGCGCAAGCTGCGGCTCGCAATCATCTTCAACAAGGTGGTTTTGCCCAGTCCATTCCGGCCCACCAGGCCATACCGCCGGCCATACGCCAGGTTCAAATCGGCACCTGTGAGGAGGACCCTAGAACAACAGGAACCAGCAGGCCTTTAGGAAATCCAGATCATGGTTCAGTGTAAAACATTTCAATAAAAGATAAGAGAATAAGACTTGAGTAACAATGGACTAAACAAACCCAATCGGAGTTAGGTACATTAGCCACAGCAAACTCTCTATTACAGATTAAAAGCCCAACATAAAATGTACTCTGCCTGTCACCAAAAGGCCATTCTTTAGATGGAGTCTCCCAACCAAGGAAGCCTCCCCCCCACCCACAGTCACCACTGTGTTGCTTTTCCAAATGCTGCCACTACCTAAAGAGCCTCCA